AAATACCAAAAAAAAAAAAAAGAGATCCGAGCACTAATATATCCAGAAATTATAAAATTGTTAGATATGAGGGCAACGGATAAGGATCCACTGAAGATCTGATAATCGGTGATTAGGTACAGTAATCGTTGTCAAAAGCAAGCAGTTTTACAGATCCATTGATATAAGCAAATGGGGCAATCCGGGATTAAATAATCGAATCATTTAAAAAGTATTCGTTTTAGTTAGTTAACTGACCATTAATCTATAACAAACAAATTCAAGGCAAGTAACGGATCCAGACTAGATCCAACAACAACAACAACAAAAAGAACTCAAAAACGAATATATCGGTAAAATAAGAGAAAGAAGAAGAGAGTTAAAGATATAAAAAAATTTACCGGTGTATTTGCCCTTGTAGCAAGACATGTTTGCAAAATTATCTAAGGAAGGCGGAGGAAGAAATCGACAGCGAGAGAGTTGCTATAGCGGAGAGAGGAGAAGAAAGACGCAGACGCTCGAGAAATGAGGAAAGTGGGTTTTGAGGACGGGTTTTAATATGGAGGGGTTGGAAGGTAGGGTGGGGAGCGGTCACCGAAATGGAAAATGACCGTCGATTTTACCGCTGATTTTCGACCCCCTTGCAAGTAACCGATACTTGTGGCGGTTTCTTCTGCCCTTGACCATTTTGTCCTCCGTTATTCTGGGCCTTTCATCCTGGGGCAGTACTCTACCACTTTACTGTACTAGTCATTTTTTTTTTTAATTTATTTTGAAGAACTAGTCATCATTATTCATTTGGCTGAAATTATTTTCCTTATTATATGATGCATAATTGTAAGTTGGGCAAATCTACCCCGGTCTAGCCAAAAGCTGTGGAAACCCAACGCCCATTGTAGTCGTATTTCTGTTGGGGCAAAAAAAAAAGATTTTGATCAAATTTGATTCATTAACTAATTAAATCAGAGTTAAATAGTATTTATTGTTCATTATAAATTTAAACCTTTTATTTTTATAATTAACTTACATTTTTTAAAAAATATAACATGTGAAATATATCTTAATATGAGCACTAGTTAGACTCGCACTTCTCCTTCTTAGGTACCTATTGTAGAGAAAGAGAGATCTTCAATCCTGCTTGTGCACTATAAAGAAATTTATGTGCTTTATATTATCTGTCAAGCTTTTGAACTCTCAACCATAAACTAGTTTGTTGTTCATTAAACGAGATACCTACTGATATGAATTAAACTATGACCCAAGTATTTAAGATACTGACAAATTATGAAGACCTAAATTTTAGTTTGCTTTAATTTCACAGAATGACAGCGTCTCCAAATTACTAATTATTACGATTAATGATGTCTAATTGCTTTGTCCAAATTACTAACTCTTACAAGCATCAATTGAGACTCAAGACAACTTGATTTGTGCAATAGCGATGCACAGAAAAAAGTAAAATACAGGAATAAACGTTGTTTGCTCGGGGAAGAATATGAAAAATGACAAATAAAAAAAACTTTAAAATGTCCATCATCCAAATTTTTTTTTTTTTTTTTTTTAAAAAAAAAGGGGCAAACCAAAAAGGTCTTGCAAAAGCACTAGGGGCTCCACTGTCATAACTCATGAAATGATCGGAAAATACATGTTTGATAAGCTGATAAGTCACGAGTTGTGAGTTATGATCCGTCACGTTTTTTTTTTTTTTTATTTCTGCGATCTTTTGTTTATTCATTATTCAGTGATGTGAGGATGCGTGAGCGGTAATTAATTAATAAATAAAACCTGTAGGGATTAAAGAGGAAATTAGGAAAAACCGCGGGCAGAAGAATTGGTGGGTAGGAGGTCAAAACCAGGAAAAGAAGCGGCCCACCTCACGAGGTTGTTTCGCGAAAGCTCCAGCCCACACAAAATCCTGTGGGATGGAGCAACTTTTTTTGGCTTGAAATTTGTTGGTTTCGGGGTGTTGGAGATCAAAACCAAGGACCGCAGCTAAAACAACGGTTTGGCGGCTGGCTGCCTTGTTAATTGGTGGTTGCCTTGCCCCCGGGTAGTAGATGTGAATCGTGGAGGACCTCTACCCCCGCCACGGGCATTTCGTGCCTCTCTTCTTTTAATATCGTTTTATAGAGCCTTTTTGGTGCCACCTGCCGCTGTCTCTGTCTCAAATTCAACACCCCCCAAATAAAACATTTAAGGTATTGGACTGTTAAAAATTTTGTCTTTATCCTCATAACTGATAAAAATTAAATAGAATTATATGTCAATGTGCGTTTTAATACTAATAATTAAAAAAAGACTTGATGATTATAAACACAATGCGGTGAAAAACTAACTGTCGAAGAGGAAACTCTCGACGGACACGTGTTAGGGCCATGGAATTCCGTTCAGACCTCACCCTCGAACCCGAATTGCGTCGAACTGATTATCTCAGTCGGGCACAGCCAAATCTTCGAGATAAAATCGGGGTCAGAATTCAAAAAGAACTTTCCCTCTAGTAACCTAATAGAATTCATACTGATGAATGGAATAATTATGAGAAGTAGAAGGATAACTCTGGGTAGGCATGGCCATGGTTCCACTTGGAACCGGGAACCGGACCGGAACCGAACCGTTTGGAACCGGACCAGAACCGGAACCAGAACCGTGGAACCAGAACCGTAGTAGAACCTTGGATAAAGGTTCCGGTTCTGGTTCTCTAAAAAATAGAACCAGAACCAGAACCGCCGGTTCCAGAACCGTTAAAAAATTTAAAAATAATTAATATAAAAAATAATAAAAGTAGAGGCATCATGATGACCAAGGTCATCATGATGCCACCACAATTTTTGCTCTCAATTTTTGCTCTCGGGGGCTCCTCCTGACTTGCACAAAGGTCCTCAGGCTCTCAACGGAAGAAAGAAACAAAGCAAAGGATAGAAAAAAAACAAGAAAGGTGGCTGCCTGCTAAATTTGACAAATTGGGGGTTAGGGTGAATTACAAGTTTACAACGTTACAATTCAACGTTGTAATTTTGTCCAAATTTTCAATACAACGTTACAAATTTGGAACGTTACAATACAACGTTCCAAATTTTTAATTTCATTTTGTCCTATAAATAAGACTTGAAATTTTATTTTCTACTACACCAAAATCAATCTTCTCTCTTCCATCTCTAAACTACTCTCAATTTCTTCATCTATTATCTATTTATTATTTCGTACTTTGTAGAATAATAATAAAATTAAAATATGATATTTATTTTGTATTTATTTTTTTACATTTTATTTAAAATTTTAAATATATTGTTATATTCGTATTAAAATTGGTAAGGATAAGAAATTAAATAAAATTGTATATAACCATACGGAACCGGAACCGGAACCAGAACCAGAACCAGAACCATAAGGAATCGAAATCAGAACTATGCGGTTCTGGTTCTACCTTTTTGAAGAACCAGAACCGCCGGTTCTGGAACCAGAACCAGAACCATCTTATATGGTGCGGTTCTGGTTCTACCTCTTTGAAGAACCAGAACCGGCGGTTCTGGAACCAGAACCGTTGGTTCTGGAACCGTGGCCATGCCTAACTCTGGGCTCTTTCATACATATCCAAGGAAACCTTATAAATAATAGGTGGATGAACTAATAAAAAATACAATATTGACTTGGGCGTCAAAATCACGACGGGGAGAGGGCTCATTGCAAGTCAGTTCGATGGCGCCTGTTTGGTGTGCTATCGAACCGCGCTCTCCCGATTCTTCGCTAACCAATTGCTTCGATTCCATTTGAAAGAACAAGCATTTCCCCTGTCTCTTTGGGTAACATGAACTTACAAAACTCCCTCATCCCATTTCGCTAGCTTTGTCTTTGACGGCATCTTGGCGACGGTGTGTTGAGCCTCTGGCGCCCAAAACAAACGGGTATTTAATTGAGCAAAGCCCGGCCAATTTGTGAATTTTATTCGGGCTATGTCTAATGATGGCTGCACCACGCCATCGCTCACGCCTCTATTGACTATTGCGCCCCCCCAACCTTCACTTTTGTATTCTTTTTTTTGTTTTTTATTAGTGCAGTGTACTAAACGAATCCTACCACTAATATGTTTATATTCATTCATGCCCCGCCAAAGTAACCATCAGCATAGAGAAACAGGCCATCAAACACGTCAACTCCCATGACATTCATTCTCTCTTTCATTCCTTTAAAAGAATGCAATAGTCAATTCATTTGTTACCCAATAAAGAAAAATTTCAAACTTCAATTATTATGGTCCTGTTACGTACCTAAAATTTCCAAATAGTAGCTACGATTAAAATTTACAACTCATGATGCATGACCTAATAACCCTCAGAGTCAGTCAGTAGACTTTTTTAAAAAAAAAAAAAAATTCCATTTCGGGCCGGAAGTAGTAGACTCTCTGGCATTTTGCATAAGGTGACCTGTAGTTGATGATCATTACCATCCTCTGCTCTGGCCAAGCGTTTTTTCATCCCACAAACAACGTAGGGGAAATAAATGACCCTTGAGATTTAAGAAATAATAAAAAATTGTGCGCCGCGACTCGAGGGACCGCCGGCTTGGGGAAGAGGGGGAATCGGGAAACAGTAAGTGGGGACAGAGCCCGCCGTGGGGGTTGGAATTTGGAACTGGGATGCTACAGCATACAAGAAGTCGAGCTGTAGCGAAACTATCAGCTGTCTTCACAATTGATGCTCCAGGCGATGAGGGTTTTGGTCCTTTTCTTTTCCTTTTTAAGAAAAAGAAAAACAGAAAGCTATTGTAATTATTAAGCAATAAAGTCGTTTTAAGCATCGTCAGAACTTGGAACGAAGGCACCGGTGAGTGAACCATCGTTTCAGGTGTCCTGATCTTGATCCTTGTTTGTCAAAATTTAGGATCGGAGACGCAAGGAACATCCAGATTGTTACTCAGCACAAGGGAAGGCGCGTTGCAGGGTTTGCAACCCTTCCCTGTGTATCTCAAAAAGGAATCACCAAGGGTCACTTGGCCACAAGGTAGCTAGGGAATCGTCCACTAAATTCTCACACAAGTTATTCCATCTTTTTCACTTGCTAATATCCGAATGCATCATTACATGTACATTCTTCACTGCCGAGAATATATTCTCTACCAAGTTGACACTAAAATTGATGCTACTGTGACTACAACATTCTTCCTAATCTTCTTCTCCAGTCTGGAATATTCTTGCCTGCAAATTGCAGCTGATGCTCCATGGGACAAGGGCAAAAATATCCTAGCTTCGACGAACCTGGAGTACAGGACATATTCAACGGGAAGAAAGACAACGCTAATAGGAACATCAGATTCAAGTCAAGCTTTTTGAAATTTGTGTGCAAGTGGCAGAATTATGGATAGAAATTCTGAAAACGTAATTTCCCATTCAAAAATTGAGCTCAAAGACTCGCAAACAGTCAAAGATTAACAACCAGCTGATGCACGCGGTAGTTTTCTTGACCAAGAATACTAGTATCTATCATCCAAAGATGTTTCCAAGCTGAAAATAGACTTTTTGCTATGCCTTGCTATCGTCCAATGCTTCTAGATGTACTAAAAGTAACTCTTCTCCGTCCAACAGGAAAACCAAAAAAAAAATGACAGTTGTAGAACAGCAGCATTATACCAACTCTACTATGTTTGTCGTGATGGTATTGCATTCTTTTTGCTACCTGAATCACAGAAGATTAACTCAATTACTATAAAGCATCAGTATTTCTATGTCCCTAGCCATGACGGGGAATCAGGTAGCCGCCTCTTAATTACTTCAGCATCATTGAGATAATTTGCAAGCATAATGTATTCAAGTTTCCAGAGCAAAGAAAAGAGATGAAATTCCAACATATACTTCATAACAGCATTAGATATGTCGTTAAAGAAGCAAAACAACAATGCCCTGGAGTAGATTTTGCAGTCGCTAGCTGATGCACTCAGTATTCTATGCTTAAGGTCATTTATGTATAGTAGCCCAATATAAGGGCTGCCAAGTGAAAAAGGTGACATACAATACCTGGTTTTATCTCAAAGATGGTCGCCAACTGGCAACAGTCACAATCTTAAACTGCAGAATTTTCAGTCAATCCATGAAACTACTTGTACTGTCGCAGTTCTCATGGATTTCCAAAACCCAGTTGCACAATGTCTCCCCATATCTTGCTTTTGACAAATTTGGCAAATCAGGTTCCTGCATCAGTAGAAATTCCAAAGCCTTCTCACGATCTACCAGATATCTAGGCGGCTACAACAGTAACAAGCGATGATCAAAGACAAACCTCCAATCATCAACCATTACGACACACATAGTATATGCATTATTCTGTTCTTTCCTTTTCCGACTGGCGTTGTACAAGCTTTATAGGTGGAGTTCGTAGTCAATTTCCCTTGCAAAGTGTTAGCCAAACTACCCAGAAGCCAAAAGAATTAATAGTAGTTGCTCTACCAAAGTCTCAAAAAAGATTTGCAATGCAGTTAAGAGGGAGGCAACCATGCCAGTGTCACTAGAACTTGCATCATCTGTTCTGTGTGTAGCAATGAATAGAGTGCAAAACCCAATAGGAAGGGCTGCCGTGGTTAACCTAAACTACCAAGATCACGGATTTGATGCACTATCAATGTTACAATTATCTATTACTGGGCATACCTCCGCACAGAAAATGCATATTAAGGACACGAAAACAAGCAGAAGTAAGTTACATTTGCCAACCAAAGTAGAAAGGTAACAGAGGTTCATACATTTGAACTTTCTAACAAAGTTCACTAGCACGTTTTGCTGTGATTCTTCTCAATTTCAAGAGGCACAAATTGCCAACATCTTTTTGCAATTGATTGCTTTTGTTAGAATTAGAATATAGTCGTACACGGCCAGAAAATTAAATGAGAGAGAGAGAGAGAGAGAGAGGGCTATTTTTAACATATCTAAAATTATGTATATATCATATAGTTTTTTTAAATTTTTGCAAGGACAAAAATTTAAAGTTACAAAGAACCTACTTTCATAAATTTTCAAGAGAGGAATATCCAATTTTCAAAAACTTCAGGGGGAAGGCGCGGGGTGGGGCGGTGAGGGCAGTGGCCCCTCCCTAATTCCGTCCCAGAATATAGTATAGGACTCTTCCGATTGGGGTGCAAAAAAAAAATTGAAAACAAAAAAAAAGAAAAAAAAATGTAATTTGCAATCTCAAATTACATCATCATCAAGTACTGTGCTCTTGAGCCTGCAGCCTCTTGGGCTGTTGGTACTATTAAATGTCTTGGTACCCTTGCCTCCCGCCTTGTCACTTAATTGTGGCTTTTTCCGACGGAAAAATTCCGTCCGCTTCCTCTCTCTTTAGACTAGGTTAGAGCATCGTTGTGATAAAAAAAAGTACTGTGCTCTTGAATTTTCGACTCTACGAAAATAATCAGCTGAGGTCACAATTAAGTAGAAGGAATATTTTTATCTTTAGGTAATACATGCACTCTCCATTTTTGCTGCTTGTCATATTCATACGAAGAATAGTCCCCGGGACACAGGCGACTATTTCTGAATGTCTGTGAAGCATCTGACTTTTCCTAACAGGTTGTTTTGATTTGGATAGAGTATTATTTAAAATATTATTTGAAATAATTACTGTAGCATTTTTTGTGATGTGATATATGTGAGATAAAAAGGTGGTTGAGAATATAAAAAGGTAGATTGAGAAATGTGTTTATGATGTAAGCGAAATATTATTTGGAATAATTTTACCATCCAAACAAACCCCTTGGGTCTGACTTGTCCTAGTATTGACACTTAAATGGAGTATGGATCCAAGGATTCTACGTCCAATTGCAAGTCACGAGATGGATTAGTCCGGCTAAATTTGAATACCACCTTGTAGAAAAAAAAATTACAATAATAGTTATAAAATAATATATATACACATATATATATATATATATATGTGTGTGTGACTACATGTTTTAAATTTTATTCCAAAAGTATGTAAGCCATTCAAAATTCGAATGTGAAAATCACAACCATCAACCTCGCTCCCCATTAGGTAATTTAATTGCAGAGAAGTTCAAATTGGAGGAATAAGTCAATAGGATGTTGGCTATCTACCTACACATTACGCAGCCAAAAATAAACCTTCCGAGTCAAAACGGTGACGAGCGGCTGAAGCATTAAATTGAGATGGCAGGTAAGTACTAAATGGATAGCGACGAAAGAGCTTTCAGCAAAGTGATACGCAAACGACGAAGGAAGCTACTATATTGGTCTCAACTGTTTACTTACTCTCCAGAAAGTGATTGAATGGGAAAGGTTGGGATCGTTGAACGCAGTCATAGGAAGGTGAGCAGCCTGTTTTGGGGGGTTTCCAAAATTGTCTAATCTTGGAGAGAGTTGGATGTAGTATTTTAATTCTAATCTCTCGATTAGTTGCCAAGGGTTGAAAGGAGCATATGAAACGACCGGACCACAGGATAGGGTTGGAAATTAGCTTAATCGGAGAAAAAAATTGACTTGGGCTAACTTCATCAACCAGACACTCGATATTCGTGTCAGTTCGGAGAAGAAGCACTACTGTTCTTTTTTTAAATGCAATCAAGGAGAGAAATGATCTGTAGTGATACTAGAGTCAGTTTAGTGGTACGGGAAGGATTTTTAGGGTCTTTTCATTATCAGAAGAGAACTTTTACAGTACTGTCTTTCAAAAAAGAATTGGCCTTTTAGTTCTGCTCTGTTTTTGTTATAAGCCCTGCAATTATCCTTCCAAAAAAGAAAAGAGAGAAAAGGTTTTTTTTTTTTATTTTAAAAAAAGGTGCAGCCAACATACTTTGGTGTCCAGAATGTTTTCTCATCATTACTTTTGCTAACACCTTGGCCAATGGATACCTTACCAGTTGCTCACACGAGGCAAAGATAGCTCTCTGGACACCGGTGGTTTACGCATATATTCTGTCTCTTTTTTCGGCCTTTCTTGTTTTTATATATGTTGGCAAAACTCGCAACTTTAGATCATAGACACTACACAGCTCCCGGAAAAGTATTGCAGACCGGACAGCCAAAAAGTTTAGATCCGGCACACCCTTGCTGTCAAATAAAGTGGCTAAGTTTTTTTACGACTCCTTGGCAACCAAATTATACTCCTAAACTTCTGCAGACCAGGAGTACTTGCGGAAGAAAACTTCAATTCTGGATTAAGGGATCATAAATTTCTGCTTGATTTTAGATTAAATCTTACAAGTGCAAGGATGATTTGCTGACAGAGGCAAATAGGCAATAACGAAAGGAAGCAACTTTCTAACATGCAACGTCCAACCTTGGAGAGGGAGGGAAAGAGGGACCATAAACACTGCACTCCATTGAACAATCATCTTCGTAAAATCAAAGGAAATTGAGTAAAAGCTGTACAATTGAGAATCATTCCCGTAAATTATATGTTGGGGAATGATCCGTTTCATCACAGAGACAGAGCAGAAACTACAAGGTCCAATCCATGGGAAGGAGCCATGTCTATGGTAGTGTAACGGCAATATCTGCAAATCAATCTCATCTTCTTTGGTCTCCTAACTGCTATATTATATATCGTCGTATAATTCTTTTCGATGGTTAATTAATCTATAAAGCTAAAGTTTGCGTGGCAAAAAACACACGGTGAGAAAAAGGATCCCAATAGTATGGAGATAGAATGGCAACTGAGGAGGAGGAAAATCAGTTAGTCAGAGGTCTTACGGGCACAAATCAACAAGGAGAAGCCACCTCTCTCTTGTTCCTTCTGCTCCAACATTTTCTCCTCTAACCACAATCTGCTATCCAGCCCGTTTCTCGTCCTAAACATGAAAACAGCATATCCAGGTGACGGATTGAAAAACCAGTCGTGAACATCCCACATCATATCCACCAATAGTCCATCCACAAAAATTGTCTGATTTCCCCTAAAATTCCACTGCAACCTCTTCACGTGAATGACATTCTTCTTATCAATAGTAACAGATAATTCCGAATCCTTTGATCCCGTGTCTTCACCAACGCACTTGATCACTATGTCATGACATGTTCCCGCGTCGCAAAACTGAGCCTTGGTTGAATACAGGGCATTCCCTGAGAAATGTTCACTCCGGGAAAGCAATGAAAATTTTGGCAATTGTACACCGGACGTGCTTTTTCTCACGTCTAATTCTTCTTCCATGTCTCCAAGAATTAGACTTAATTCAGAATCGACCCAAACCGTAACATAATATCCATTGACCGGCTCAGGGCCAATGTCAAACGTAGCCTGAGACAGATCCCAGAGCACTTCGATTCTTGAATCGCAGCATTCGAAGGCTTTTGTGCCTTTGACCTTCTTGAATTGCCTGGAATTTCTGCTGAATTTGGAAAGAGAACGGGTATCCTCCCCAATACCAATTGAGAAGCCTTGGCCTACTGAGTCGCACCATGTGATTTTAATGAAGAAGTGCTTTTCAGCCGAGAGTTTGACTTTGTACAGACAAGTAACCGAATTTTGAACCGAAGGAATTAAGCCAGGGGAGAGGTAAGGCTGACCGGAAGGCCCTGAACAATACGAATTCGAGACCTGGATTGAATGCTCACTGTAACAGGTAGTAATACTTCTCATTTTGGACAAAAGAACCCTACCAAGATTTTAACCAATACTCCGACAGAAGCAGCAGGCCCTCCTAAATATTCCGCCAGAATTGTGATGTACTTCTCTGTTGTCTGGGGTCTATGGGAGAGAAGTGGAGGAGGGTTTTATGTGTATCCTTTGCTGCGGGAAGAAGGAAAAGGAAGATTGGGATTTGTAGATATGCCTTTCTTCTGCCAAACAGTTCTTCCTCACAGACTTCTTGTAACTGAAATTAACCAGAGCAGCGAAGCGAAATGAAGGGGCCAATCATGAAGAGCAGTAAAACCCAGCTTAAGGCCAGGTCATCTAACATTTAATACGGTCTTTCCGGGTTAACAAAGTACTCTTTTCTTTCCATTTCCTAATACTAGACCAGAAGTGCATATCTTGGTAGAAGAAATGGAAGGCCGCACTAATGCAGGTCAGAAATAGTTCACAACGTTTTCAGTGACAGTTCCTATGTAACTGTGGCATTACAATGGAAACACATGAATTATGTGCACAAGGGAAAAGGATTGATGTATTTTTTATTTGTTTTGACTGGGTGGATCTGACTCTAAGGATTACTTAAAACAAAGGATCTCAGTTTTGTTAATAAGGCATCCTTGAACCAATCATATGTAATCCACGCTAGAAGGGGAAGAGCAAGTAAAGATTAGGTTGTTACGTCTATTTTCTTCTTACATATATCTAAAGGCTAATGACAATAATTAAAATCCAATTGTCGGATCCGATTGTTCCTATTTGGCCATTAGTTGTTTCTCTTTAATATTGGTTCAGATTACCGTTAAATTTTTTTTTTTGTTGTTGTTTTAAAAGATTTTTCCTCAAGAAATTGAGATTCTACTTATCCGACGATTATACTAGAGGTGGCAAAATAGGCGGGATGGGCGAGATTTGCTTGGGTTTGATAGTGAAATAATTATTTTTAACCGTTAAATGAACGGCTTTAAGACGTTGAATACTTAAATTAGTATCGTAATTGAGAAATGAGTCTGGAGGAAATAGCAACTTAAACTGACCATAGAAATTTCCGTCTTTCGACGCCTAAAATGCAGTACTTGAAATTAAATGCAATGACATTTTTAACCCGATGAGGATCGATTGACTGACGCTTCGAAAATGCATGTGCTGCGAATCATGTAAATATCACGATGGAGAGAG